CTAATGCTAGTAAGTGTCTATTCTCAAGTGTACCTAGTTAGAATTCTTATTTACCCCTAATCGTCAGCCAAGCCCAGCTCAAGAGTGCTGTTAGCACTGTCAATTGTACAGCTGCCTGTGAACAACCAAAAATGTCCGTTCAAATGTCAGGCAGTCCCAATGTTTCTGCTAGAACAAGGCGGGGGACTGAGGCCAAAGTCCCGGGTCCTGCAGGATGGAGCAGGTGGGGACTCCAGGAGATGGGGCAACAACATGAGCAAGCTCAATTTTATTCCTGTAGCCACGATGGCATTACGATTTAAGCGAGTTTAAATTGCAAAACTGTGCTTACAAGAGCTGAGCAGGGCATCCATGCATACAGTGGCCATAAACTAGAGATGACCTGACAGCATTTAACAGCAAACACAATGCAGAACTCTGCATGCCTGGAGTACCTTTTAAAAAAAAAAATCATCAAGACTGGCAAATAGTTACATTGTTATTGTCCTCTAACATTCTTTAGAGGCCTCCAGTGGCTATAAGGGAGGATAAACATGTTTAAAATAAATGAATAAAATGCAGCCACAGTTGTAAAACATGGAAAGGTGGTTGAGAAAGAGAAGAAATAAAACATGAGCTGTTCCACAATGGAAGCAACACACTGCCAACTAATGGGGTAGGGCACGGGACTGTTCGGTCCGGGGTCTAAAATGCCCAAGCTGCGCCACTGGGCGAGCCACATCTCACCCAGGCGCCTCCTCTTCCCCCAGTGCTCTTTCTGAGTGTCCACATGAAAGTGAGAGATGCAGGGAGTGCTCCCAGCACCACCATGGGTAGACAACCATCTTTCTGCCCCTCAGGAGCTAAGCAGCAACCATGAAGCCTACGCACACCAAAACCACATTCCCCACTGCCTCCGTCATGCACATGCCGCACTTTTTGATGACAGCCACACTGCAGTGGCACAGTGACAATTGGGTGCTTCTGCACAGGGGAAAGACCCCAAGGGCAAGGCAATGAGTGGAGAAGGAAAACACTGGCCCCATGCTAGAGTCAGTGGGTCTGAAATTGAGAAATAATTCTGAACAGAGCCTTTGCATGCATTCTGAACATCTCAGAGATATCAGCAGTGTTCTGTCAAGAATGCAAAAAGTTTACTGAAGATGAAAAACATATCCTGGAACTTCATAGTTATCGCTCTTTACTTAATTAGTACAAGAGGTCTTAAAGTCATCTGAAACATACTAATAAAATATTAAAAGCATACAAATAAATGAAAAGACAAAGCAAAAAGGAGAAAGAGGAAACAGAAATGCCTCCTAAAGATATGGACAGATCACATACTAGATCTCTTATCATCCCATTAAACACCATTTTAAATAATTTGCAAAAGGCAGACTTGAATTAATTCATGCATTTATACGAGAGTTTTAGCTCAACACTGTACTGTTTTAGCAATTTTCCCCTTACAAAGTAAAACGTACAATACAGAATATAACTTTTCTGCCTACATTGCATCTTAGCTATGCTTAAAAAGGTAAAGGTAAAGGGTTCCCCTTGACGTTACATCCAGTCATGCCTGACTCTAGGGGGTTGTGTTCATCTCCGTTTCCTGGCTGAGGGAGCCAGCGTTTGTCCACAGACAGTCTCCGTGCTCATGTGGCCGGCATGACTAAACACCGAAGTGCACGGAACGCTGTTACCTGCCCACCGAAGTGGCGCCTTTTTATCTACTTGCATTTGCTTGCTTTCCAACTGCAAGGTTGGCTTAGGGAGGCTTAACACTTTGGCTCTCACTTGCCAAAGCTTTGCCATCTCTGGAGCCTGAAGTGCACTAGGATGCATTTGCAGATCTACATCAGAGAGGTACCAAATGAACCATATCAGCCTGATAAGACAAAATCAAGGTACTTGGTACTGGACATATACTGGAAGTATACACTCCCACTGTATGAGATTGCATGCTGGACTGAAACTCGGAAGAACACTAGGTCAGTTACAGACTCGCATCCTAATCTACCTCGCAGGGTTGTTGCGGGGATAAAAGTTTGTAATCTGCCTTGGGTTCCTTGCAAGAGAAAGAAAGCAAGCTTATAAATGTAACAATATGCCTATGTCTGTAACAGGGAACTAAAAGTACCAAAGCCCATACATTTATTTGCACCACAACAAAAGAAGCAGACACTGACATTTAAACCAGAGTTGGCACAGCAAGCGCACGAAGACACAGGATTACAGAATCCCCAGTAACGACATCCTAAGCATGACATCCAGATTTTACAGTTCTCATCCAACTGAAATGTCCCATGAGCTCAGACCTCTTCAGCAAAGTGTAGCACACATGTTTGAACTCTCCTCTCCAGTCCATGCATGCGCACGCACACACGCTCTTAAAAAGCTAGGCCAGTTCAGGACAAGGCAACCATCAGTTTTGCTTTGAATCTCCTTGACAAATGTGCAAGAACATTAAGTAGAGTCTGTGTGTGCTCTGAAGGAGTACATTTCCCTCTTCTGGCATAACACATAAACCTTAGAAGTCAGCTGTACCTCCCCTGCAAAAGCAGTGTGGTGAAGCTGTATTTATTTATTAGATGTATATCCCACTTGTTCCTTAGAACAAACTCAAAGCTGATTATATCATTCTCCTGCTGGCCCTCAATCATCTCTGCACAACAGCAACCTTGTGAGGTAGGCTGGGCTGAGAGTCTGGGACTGGCCCAAAGGCTCCATGACAGAGCGGGGTCTCAAACCTAGACTACCCGAGTCCCAGTCCCGTACTCTCAACCACTACACCACATTGGCTCACACCATGGGCCCTAAAAGTATCATTTCCAACCAGCTGAGCCATGAGAAGATGCCACTCATATAAGCCAGTTACTGCACAATCCCAGCTTGTCTATTCAGAGGAAAGCCTCCACTGCGTTCAGTGGCGCTTTCTCCTAGGAAAGTTTGTATAGGATTGCAGCTCTGCAGCCTAATCGGGGTACTCAAAATCACAGCACACCACCAAAAGAGGAACAAGCAGAATGAGACGCACTGTGCCAAAGCAGCTGATAAAACAAACAGTTGCAGCTAACTTCAGCAAGTGAGCCCAGCCACATCCAGAGGAAAGAAGAGATAACCCCTAGAGTACTCCCCCACCTATTCCTGGATTAATAGCTAACCTGACTTGGAGATCTGACTAATCCAGTCCCAAGCTTAAATGTGGGTACCTGAAAGTTCTCCCACACAAGCCGTGCCGAGTTGGAATAGGATTGAATGGCATTGTGCAGGGGCACTTCTACGAGCTGTGCCTGGAGTTTACTGCAGCACAGACTGACACTGAGAGACAGGAGAAGTCAGAGACCCAGTACACTTAAGGGCTGCTCAAACTCAGAGGCATCCCCAGCTTGTCCAATGCACTCAGCTGAAGCATTTGTGCCAACTTATTAATGCAACATCATGATTTGTGACCAATGAGTTCTTGCCTTGAGAAGACTGAGACAGTCCATGGTATCCCTCTAGAAGGACCTCCAAGGCTGTCACAAAGAGGAAGGTCAAGAGCTCTTCTTGCTGATACCAGAGCACAGGCCACAGAATAATCAAGTCAAGCTGCAACAACCCAGATTCAGGCTGGACATCAAGAAAAGCTTCCTCATGGTCAGAGCAATATGAGAGAGGAACCAACTGCTTAGAGAGGAGATGGGCTCTCCCACACTACAGACATCCAAAACGAATAGCCATCTGAGTGGGATGGTGTAAGTTGATGCCTTCAATAGCAGGGGGTTGGACTAGATGGCCTTCATGGCACCTTCCAGCTCTACTATTCTATGATTCTAAGTAAGTGCACCCACAGACATATGCACACCTCTCCCCAAATTTTTTTGCTGGCATAGTAAGGGCTGCAATCAGCTTTCCTGTTCCCAAATGAACACACACTGCAAGAAGCTAGATTACTGCTTTAACTTGAGTTCTCTGCCTTTGCCTGGATAAAAAAAGTATCGGAAAGCGGCATGTGTTAGCAACCTATCTATCCGGCAGACTGCAAGCAACTAATCTCTGAATCGGCTACCCAGGAGTATCACTAGCATTCCTTTCCTCCACCACCCCACTTTGAGCAAAGCCTTCTCCAGCCTAATCAACACCTCTGTGTCAAGAGAAACTCTTGTTCTGTTTGCTCAACCCAATATATGTTGCTTGCTCTGATTGCTCCAGGACCTCAGGTGGACATCACTGCTGCCACCTGCCACCAGATCACTTACAAATAGTGATGCCTGGGACTGAACCTGTGGATTTCTGCCTGAAAAGCACAGGCTCTAGTTTCTTCATCCTTAACAGGTGGAGGCAACAGTAAGGGGAGAAAACATCTCCATCAGCCCAAGGAAACTGCATCACCCACACCGGTCAGCTTAAGTTCTCGCGATCAGGTTCTAGCCCTGGAAACAGGTGCCTTCACATCGGACAGGCTGCATCTATCAAGGCCAACAACGAAGCTTCAACAAGGCTGTTGGTTGCCCAGGTGCCACCAATTTCATTTTGCATTCGATGTGAAACTGAACTATACTGAGCCAGAATATCGAGCGCATTATTGCTTTGCTGGCCTGCAGCAGCAGCTTTCCAGGGTCTCCGCTCGGGAGGCGGGGTGCGGGGTGGGAGAGGAAATGTGTCTTTCTCACTGAGGCTAATAACTTCTTTGGAGGAAAAGCTGCCAGGAATTAAATCTGGGACCTTCTGCGTGCAGAGGGCGAGCCAACCCGCCGCGAGCCCTGCTCCGCTCGCCAAGCCACCGTGTCCCTGGATCGGGCTGCAACAGCAGCGACGGCGTGCGAGCTCGCCGTGGGGCGAACCGCCGCGCCAGGGCCGGCCGCGGGCACGTCCAGGGGAAGGGGCCGTGCCGAGGCGCCGGGGACCCCGCGGCCGCCGGCGGAGGGCGCGGCGGCGGCGGGCGGGCGGACGGGTCGGGGGTGCGCGCCTCGCCTCCCGCCCTCGCGGCCCGGCCGGGCCGGGCCGGGCAAGCGTCCCGCGTCATTCCAGGCAATTACCCTTTGAGCGCATCGTGCCCCGCGGCGCCTCCCGCCTGCCCTCGCCTCTTAGCCCGGCTGGCTCGGCTGCTGCTTTCCTTCGCGGAGACGACGGCGGCGGCGGCGGGGGGGGCGCCCGCGTCCAGAGTGCCCTCGACAGCCCCTTCGGCCGGGGAGGAGCAGGAGCCCAGCAGCACGGTACATCCCAGGGCGAGCCTCAGCAGCAGCCCGCCGGGCCGCATCTTGCCCCCGGTGGCACGGGCGGGGGCTCTGCCTTCGTCCTCGGCCAAGCGCTCGCGGCTCGGCTCGGCTCGGCTCGCCGCCGCCGCCCGCCTTGCACTCGGATCGCGCCCGCGCCGCTGCAAGGGGACGTGGATCCCTCCTCTGGCTTGCCGGGCGGCTCAAGCGGAGGAGACGCGCTCCCTGGCGAGGCTGTGGACGGGAGGGAAATGGCGGGGGGAGG